CAGGCACCGCTCGCCGGCTGTCTCGCAAGAGATAGCGACGTGCCAGCTGTCTCGCCATGCGCTGCGTTTAACGTGCTAATGGGGCACCCCAAGGTTGGCTGAGATAGAGAATCAAGAAACGGGCATATGCTGGAACGTACAACTCAACCGAACGGCGAAATTGCTCCAGTAAATTGCTCAAACAAATTAAGTTTCCGCATTTATCCATGTTTTCCCCAGCTATACAATTCTTCTGGGCGGTACATCATCAACAGCCACTTCTCTCCCAATTACTCAACTTAAAGTGAAGCCGTCTGGTTGAACAGTGTTTTGCTAAGATGATGCCCAATTCTCCCCCTTCCTCCCTCTCTCAGCCACTAGGTAACTTCACAAATTAATTGCGGCATCATTGGGACCTTATGTTTATTTCAGGATACAGAGCGTTATAGCTTGCTGCTGCTGAAGACTCCTCCAACAGAATCCAAACATTTACAAACCATACAACAACACACATTTCCAAAAAGTCCCAGGCACACAGAAGGCTGTACCATCCCCCAAACAGAGTTCCTTGAACGTCTTGCTCCTTGTCAGCTACAACTGTGAAGCAAAAACTAGAAAACATGAAATAAGAGAAAAATATTCTTTTTTGCTTGTGTATAAAGGAAGGAAATAGTGATACTTTAGATATGCCATGTGAGAGAGACTTCAGAGTAATTATTTTCCAGAGATAAATACCACTACTTTGTAATACTTAGGTTCAAAATACACACAACTAAGGATTTTGAGTCCAAATAATTTAATGTAGCTACTCCCGAGACTGGCTAGCAGAGCGTATACATCCCATTACAAACCAAAACATTAACTTTCTTTGATTGAAGTACAAAGGAGCATTCCTACCAAAACCAATCTCTTGGAGCACAGAAGCACATACTTTGAATGTCTTTTGGACCTACCAGGGAAAGATTTTTTCCAAAAAAGCAATTTAAGTAAACACAGTAGATGAACTGGCATACAAGATGTTTTCTTCTGCTGTGAAGCAGCTCAAACTGTGCATTCTCCATCCTACCAGCTTCTATAAAATAGCTGATAAAAAAAAATTAGAAAGTCTGTTGCAGAGCTGGAAGGTCGTACATCTACCCCTGTTAACAGTCTCAGGGCCCTCTTGTCTGGAAGGGTGCAAATCTCCATGAAATAATGACAGCTGAGAGGTTCCAAAAATTCATAGAATTGGACTTGTAATACTCCATGGAAACTGGAAATCCCAGTTCACGACGTAAAGGACCTACAAGAATTGGCAAACAGAAGAGAAAGACACCAGGGTGCTTTCAAGTCTGTTATGGCAGATTTCATCGCTTTCTTGACAATCTTGACTCAAGACAGGGTAGACACTGTCCACTATGCACCAGTGGAAGAATTCTTGCTTTCTGATTGTTTGGATATTCAAAGATACTTTTTGGATATACAGCTTGAGACTATTCACATGTTTTCACATATTTTTGAAAACACAAGCCATCAGAAAGCAAGAATAATTAGCTGGTTTTGCCATAGCTAACTCTACAATGGTTATCATACCTTTAATTAAGAAAACCGTGTATCAAAAGGTAGGGGGAAAAACAGGAAGTCAAACAACTATAAAATCCCTTCTTTTTGGAACAGGCAAAACATTTAGATTCAGCAAGTTCTCACTAGAAATATTGCGATAAAGTATTGATTTTTTTACCAGACTCAATTGACTGAAAAGTTGTTTGTGTAGCAATATCGGCCAAGCCAATATACTGGAACAATTTTGCTACACGCAGTAATCAAGTGTATTTCTAAAGTATAATTATACTGTCATAAAAATAAAGCTAAGATACCTCTTCTCCAAGCAATAAAACAGTTGTAGCTGTAAAGAAGCCAAATAAATGAAATACATTTTCTAACTAAACATAGCGTCTTTCAAAGAGAGGAAAACCCCCTCCCATCTCCCCCCTCACGCCAAGGTTAGCAGGAGAAGTGATCAATACTTCAATCTCAATAAACTATTTCAATAGTAGTTAATTCACGGGGAAAGAGAGGCTGAAAATTTTTGCTCAGCGACCTGCGACGCGCTCTCTTGTTTGCTGAATGCTGATAATATTTCATTGCCATAATGGATATGACTTAGTATAAAGAGCGAGAAAGAAAGAGGGGAAAAAAAATAAAAAATAAAAATGATAGCACACAGCCACGCTCGTTCTTTACGTTCAGATCAATACCACACACTGCCTCTTCTGCAACAAACCGGCAGCACGCAATGCTGGAAGAGGAAAACAGCCAAACGTTTGCAATTAATTTCATTTGACAAATGCTCATTGATTTACTGGAATAAAATATATGTGGGCTGCTATCTATGACTAGTGCAATCCAGCTACCTGTAAGTATTCCATTTTGCAATTCCTTATTGGCTTGTGTAGCACGGATGCTCCTTTGGCGAGGGAGAACAAGCTCCCCTTGCCGAAGGGACATCACCACGGCACGGTGACTGCCAGCTCCCTGCAACACAGCAACCCTCCAGGGATGAGAGACTCAAGTGGCAAAACTCTTCAACCCAACGCACCAAGAAGCAAATTCGGGAAGATGCGAGAGGAACACAGAGCTTAGAAGCCAGTTTTGGGAGAAAACCACATTTCGTATTTATATTCTGCTGGTGTTTGCGTTGCAAAGAAAGTCAAAACTTCAGGAACATGTAAGAGACACACGTGGAAACGGCGCGTGTTCCCTGGAGCAGTGCAGAACGACACCAGAGAAAACACTGTGAAGTCACTGGAACTGCTGATTTAAAATAAGAACGCAATAAAAAGGGAAAAGAAAGGCAGAACCGCTTCCCTGACACAGAAGAGGACTCATGTTTTTACAGGTAAATTTTTTTACTTTCCCAAATCGCAGGCAAATGCAACACTCAAAGCAGCTCACACCATCAACCCACACGATGCAGCAAGTCAACGTAGAAGCAGTACAGGGAGTGTTATGCATTCCCCCCTGTGCCGTTATCCTCTGCACCTTCAACGTTCACAGCTCTGTTCCTTCATCACTCCTGCAGACTCTTACCACAGCAACAGTCATCACAAGAGAAAAACATTTTTGTAAAAAAAAAAAATTAAACAAAAAGAAGGCAGATAACTGTACTACCCTTCAGAAAGACAAAAAGAAGTCAAAAGGTGCAAGTTTGGCTTTACATAGCATTTTATCCAAATTTCCCAGATGGATTTTATGAAATGTGAAAGATATACTATCCGTGTGGCAATATTATTGAAGAACTAGACGTTTTTATACTGCTTTCTGCATCTAAAGCACTCTCACCGTACGGACCACGTGAGATGGTGGATGCAGAACAGAGCTGCTCCTCGCAAGTAGGGCAGACACAAACTGACAAACAGACACCGAGTCCAGCAGATCCTGAGTGCAAAAAGATTGGCAAAGCACACGCTCCCTTGCCTCGGCTTACATTCCTTAGACTTTGGCCATTGGCCACTATAAGGCACAGGATGAAGAGCAGACACTTTTGGTACGACCTGCTATGACCATGCTTAGGTAGCTCGTGATTTTGCATTGCTAGCTCCTTATTTCAGCTACTTCTCAAAAGAACGTGACCCCAAATTGGGTTACAACGGCACGTGCAGGTCCCCTCACTTTGTGGGACATTCCTTGTCCCTAACTGAGCCTCAAGTGCCTTCCACAGGGATCAGAGCGCGTGGCCCTCCTTCGCGATGCTTCTCCCACCTACACCCACTCCTGGATCCTCCATGGGGAAGGGAAGCAACCTCCTTTAAATCAGAAAGCACCCAAAAAGTCACTGACTCAGCTGTAAAGTTCAACACTCTCTTCTCAAATCCTTCTCACGACAAAGTAGGAGAAGAACACTGTTTCTGCGAGTTTCCTGGTCCAGGAAAATCCTTCTACAGCAGAACATCAATGAGATTTCTGGGCTATGTTCCATCTACAAGGCTAACCCGATTTCTGAAGTGTCCATCCAGAGACTAGACTTGTCCCTTTAAGGTTTTGGAAGTCCATTTTCATTAAACCTTCTGCAAGGGGACCGAAGCGAGCTCTTTTGCAATGTTGGCAGCCAATTAGAAACTAAACTAAATGCACCGTAGCTTTTAAAACATTTTTAAAAAAAAATTGTTAATATCAAAGTTAAAATGTGTAAGGTATAAACAAAATCATAATGGGATGCTGGGTTACTGTATATGGTAAATAGCTCTCTGGAGGAAACCTTTATTACTCCCTCAGGGCTTTCTTACAAAGTATGGATTTCTTAATTCCTAGTGGAATATTTTTCATACACCACTGCAGACTATTAAGTACCAGATATTACATTATGTAGTTTAAACTTTGCACTATGCATGAGAAAGACTTTCCTGTTGAGAAAACTATATCTCTGCTATTATAATCTTTACAATATTAAAATTAATACTGGCTGCAGGGTATGAGCTTCACTACCAAAATTTAGGGGAGTTTATCATTTAATATATTCATCAGCCTACGCGTGAAGCCGCTCGGAAGGGAGGGAAGTCGCTGCAACAGTGCAAGGGGTATTGACTAATTTGGAATTGCTAGAGAAAGGCAGAGCAACGGTGTCACCACGTCCCACTGGTGTCATTCTCCATACTGGGCTAGCAAAGGGCGTGGTGAGCCAGCAAGAATAATGGCATTGCAAATACCGACGGCAATTCATTATGCTTCAGGACATTCCGAGTTCCACTTGTGAACCATTAACTTGTTTCCCAGGAGGGATTCGAAGCGAAGTATTAAAAAGATAATAAAAATGCACCAGCCCTCACGGCACCCAAAAGCAGATACCTTGCAAATATGTAAAGAGAATTCTTAAAAAGTTTATATTAAGAACGTCTCTTATCATCTTTTCTGCGTAGCAGCAATGGCCCACCGACATTTCAGTACAAATACGAAGGAGGAAAAAAAAAAAAAACCAAACCAAAAAACAACAAACTGCTGTTAAATTTTGTTTTCAAAAATTTTAAGTGAAATTCAACACTCACTTGTAGACTGTGCCTCCATTGCCATGACCGAGGATGTCTCGATACCGTATGTCTTGTTCATTCATCTCCACAAGAAAGAAAGAAAAACAAAAGAGATGTCATGCTGTGGATGGAAATGTCAAGGAAAAGCAACTCTAGGCCATAAACAACAAGCAGTCTGGGTCATTTCAAGTTCAGCTGCAAGAACGAGAAGATCAATACAACATTTGCTGTCCAATTTATAAAAGACGATACCAAGGGACAAAGTGATGGAAAGTTTAATGACAATTTGTTTGCCTGGGTCATTTCATTAAAGTTTGATAAAAGGTGTCAAAATGGAATGATATAATATAGCTCAAGAGGGTCAGGTCACAGATACTGATAGGAAAAGGGTCTCCTGAACAGCACATAACCAAAGCCAAAGTTGGAGGTGAATGGAAACAATCCAACAGAAAACTGTCATCTTCAGTACGGCTAGAAAAGTTTATGATTTATTCTGGAACCAGCATAATTGATACTAATTGAGTGACAGTTCTGTCAGTAGGATTGCTTCGTAGTGCTTAATTTAGATACCTTTTGACTAAAGTGAATATTCTGGAAAATAAAAGTCTCAAATTGCTATCCAAGAAAAATAATTTTCCTTGAAATACATGAATAATCGCTTGCCTCAGTCTTTCTCCTCACTGGGACAACTCTCCATATATGACAATATCCTCAGATATTCAAGCAGAGGCCTGATATAAGCACTGCACATTGCAAATGCTGGAATTTGGGATCTTTCTGATATGCTTTTATATAAGTTTATCGACAGCACTTCTCTGGATGCGCAATTAAAATGCAAAACTACAGTTCAACCTTTTCCTGTACAAATACAGTTCTGATCTTCCAGCTAAAATGCCTATTGAAAAAAAAAAAAAATATCACTACAAATATTTCTGGGCTGCACATGCATACTTGAAATTAAATATTTTAATGAGGGGCTGCATGCATTTGCCTCTCCGAAAATATCTTCATCGCAATTAGTAAATGCTTGGGCAACTCCCCTTTTTAAAAGAGGTTTTCCTAGGAATTTGTTACCAAATTATTAACTTGTTTCTCTCAACTCTTTGTATTTAATGGGATACCACGTGAATAATTTCACAGGAGTCGGTGGGGCTGCTTAAAGACTGTCATTTCTGTGTGTTAAAAGGCATCAAAAAAACCTTAATGATACGCCTGGTCTGCTGTCACTGATGTGATTAGAGATCACGTCAGCACATCTGAGATAGCTTCGAATTAGCTGTTCCAAGTACCACTAGCACCATGGCGAGCTCGCCATAAGCCATCTGCATTTATCCAACTCCTGAAACGGCTTTTAAAATTCAGTGGGGACATGTGCCCTTCAGTTACTGAGCCATGTTTAAGCATCTCCTTTCATATGATGTCAGTGGAGATAAGGGGAACTTTGCCCCTGGCTTCAACTGGAACAAGTAAGTGATGGTAACAAGCTGAAATGCCCTCCAGAGTCAATACTCTGCATGTCTTGCCAACGGAAAATGGAGTATTTAATTGATTTAAAATAATACGTTTTCAGGATAGAAATGACAAACTCCAAAATTTGTGTTCTTTCCGTTCGCTACCTGAATAAAAAGCACACTTGCTTCTCACAGGAAACACTTTCCCTCTGTGCACTTCTTCCAGTGAGGTCAAAATCTCTGAGTTCTGAGAAAACCTGAAATTCCTCAAAGCAGAAGTTGACTCTACATGATCACACATTTGTAGTTAAACCTCAGCCAGGTGCCTCACGAGGGCACGAAATGGCCCATTCAATATCAAGGTTTATGACGAAAACTAAAATTTATTTTATTACTGAAAGCTCTCCTGCTTATTGCATCAGAAAATGCAAATAAAGAGGGGGGGAAAAACACCCCTCATGAGGAACAGTAAATCATGAGTGGGTTTTAAAATCTCTACTGGATCCCTTGCTCTAAACATAATTTCATTTAAAGCACATCCTGTGTTTAAGGAGTTCTGCTGGAGGACTTCCATTCTCCAGTCTTTGAGGTAACAACAAACATCTCCTTCCTACAATTCCCAGCAACGTTCTCACGAACACAACCCTTCAGAGAAATCAGATGAATCCACAAAGCCATGAACATACTTGTATCTTTGCTTCTTGCTGGGGGGAAAAAAAAGAATTTTTTTTGTAGCTACACAAGTTCTAAGCGACAAATTGAGCAGAATGAGACGTAAAGTGTTTGTCTTTTCTCCTGCTTTTGGCAAAAGGTGAGTTATATTTTTCACCCCGTTCCCTAAAAGCCAGCGACAGGAGCAGCTCCGTCCTCGTGACACCAGTGCCACCAGTCCGTGTCTCTCAGGCACAAAGAGCATCCAGAAATCCGGGTGAAACAGGAAGACTGGGGTGGAGCAAGGATCTGCCAGCAGCCGATCGAGAGATAAAGCGTGATTTACTGGCTCAAATAAAGATGCCAAAAACGTGTGGCGATTTATTTATTTTACTGGGAAAACCGGCCTCTCAATCATAAAATGATAACATAATAACAATGAACTTGACAGCATGGACCGGAATATTAAACTGGGAAAACCGAGTTTGCTCGGATGCCGATATTAACAGAATTAACGAAAAAGCAAACCAGGCTTCAATTATGGATCAGCAAACAAAACATGCCCTGCTTATACCTGCTGCTTGTGACAGAAATCAGCGCCTATCTCTTGCAAATCATTAAACCCAAAAATGCTCAATTAATCCTTATTTTATATGCAGAGGCCAAGTCCTACAGCCGCACCTCCGCTTTCCGAATCGAAGCGCTAACGGTCCCAGAAAGCAGTCACACTCCATGAGCAGACAATTGAGGAGATTTAGTAAATCCCACTTTATAGAGCGGAGACTAATCGGAAAACACGAGCCAGTCAAATGTTTCTTATGAACTGTTGACACTATATCAATGCTGAATCAATTGGTGGCATTTACTCTGAGTGACAGAAAAGAAATAAATATTTATATCGCATCACCTATATCAATGAACCCAGGCAGAAAGCTATTTCTAACCTGTCAATATTTGATTATGTTGAAGAATCATGGCCCCTTCTTTTAATGATTAATATGAATTCCTTATTAAACCTAAATGGAAACTACTAGAGGAATATCATTATGAATGCCTGAGAGCATAAACTGCCACAAAATAAGAAAAAATAATAACCCGACCCACATTTAAGTAACGATAAGTGTGACTTAATCCCCCAAAAGGGGGAAAAGTTAAAAGTTACAACTAGAAACCCATTTCCAGTTACGGATCCGCGACCAAATTTTGCAGAACACAATGCAGCAAAACAAAAAGCATCTTCCCTCGACACAAAGCACTGCAGCTCCTATCAGAGCAGGGTGAATAAAAGGTAGTATTAAAACTTATTTGGAATTGTTGCTTTTTCTTTTTTTCAAATGGGTTTAAGTAAGATCATAAGAAGAATTCTGGATTCTTTATATCTTTCTAAAATCCTACTATGCAGGAAAGAAATCTGTAGCAATCTATATCGCAGGGGACACAAAATACAAACTTATTACTTAGAACAAATAAAATGCCAAATACAGCTTACGAACCATGAGATGGCTACTTATGTTCAGTAATTCTAAGTAAAAAAAAAAATAAAGAAATTAGTAATATCGGAGTAATTACCAACTTTATTTTAACAGTTCAGAAGCATGCTGCTACTATGATTTTCTTAGAAGCATGCTGCTACTACGATTTTCTTATATAATTTTAAGTAAGTGCTTATATAATTTTAAGTTACCCAGAGACATATATAATTTACCTGGAATTTTGAAACATTAACGAATTGAAATTTTGAAACGCAACGTCTACCCGGCAGGAATCTGGGAATATTATGCTAAGTCTGGGATAGTCTCATCAGGCAGGCTGATGAGCTTAAAAATACCTTCCCCAGCTGTATTCACAGGATGAGGTACCAAAGAGGCAAGGCTGCGACACCGGGCTTAGAGGGGCCCTCTCATCTATTAGATCACAATGTTCCAGGTGATACCGAAGGACAAGCACGGAGCCCAGCCTTTATCTTCTTGACACGCTCAACTACAACTACTTGATTCATGAAATGCCAATGAGGCTTGGAGAGGTCATTGTGTGAAGGCACTGAATACGCATCGGAGATAATTAAGATTTCAGCCTTCGAAACACGGAGGGGAAGTGAACAGCAGTTAAGAAAATCAATAAGAGTCTTTTATTTGCGGTGACACAGATGTCTCAGTCAATAGAGCCTAATAGGCAAGCTGGATCGCAACGGACAGGTGCCTGCCTCCAAGGCTACCAAAGGGCTTTGGCTATGACAAACATTAAAACATATTTATGTTGCTGCTGAAGAATCTGGGATTCTTCTAAGGTAGTTGAATTTAACGGTGTATCTTTAATGTCATTAGGCTACTGCAAGCCTGCCCACACATTCAGCTCAAAACGGGTACGCAACGATCGCTCCGTTTGTCCAGGACATCCACTTGTCCATCAATTGGTACATTAAACCTTTCACTTCTGGGTGCCAGAATCTGAATGCCTGGAGCAGGAAAGGAAAGTAACAAGACAGCTTTCTACAACTTCAGGGTTTGGTTTTGTTTCTTTGCTTAATTTTTTTCTAGTTTGTTGTGGTTTGTTGTTGGGTTTTGGGTTTTTTTTTATTAAGAAGCTACAACATAAGGTGATTCCAAATATTACAGAGCAATTCCTTGCAAGAACCTGCTAAACATTTAAGTATCTACCGCCCCCAAAAATACGAAGGTCATTCTGACGGAGCGGTTGACTTAGTTATTCAAAATTGATTAACTTTCTTCCCTGAAATTGTGGCAGGAGTGCAACATGTGTGAGGTACTTCAATCCATTTGGAGCTAAATCTGATTAGCACGTTTTGAGAAATGGGAAGCAAATTGCTATGCCAATCAAAATAAATCAGGACACAGAACTCATTCATATCATGAAGGTTTTCATGGTGCCTCCAGTTCTGTATTAAAAGAACACATTACAACTAAATGAGCAGTAAGCATCTCTCCACCTATTTGTGGCATGCCAATCACGGCGGTATTAGGCAGTAACGCGACGTGCATGTAGCCAAGACTCAATTCAGTGCACCTACCTGCCCGTTTGCAAGTATCTTCTTCAGCTCTGCAGAAGACTTTTTTAAGCTGAAAAAAAATAAGAGGCAATTATTTTTAGTGACTGTGCCACTTCGCTCTATAAAAGTGAAGTGAAACCATAAGAAACAACAAGCCGTCAGGTGAAGTTCACGGTTACATATTCCAAATAAATTTAACTTTAGCAATGGTGACTGATGTTTGGCATAGCTACTCCCCAAACTGCAGAAATGGAAAAGCAATGAGCATTTAAGAAAATCAATACATTTTTCACCTTTACAAACTGGCTTTTTTAGGTACCTGACTATACCACCCTTCAAGACACAGCCTATTGTTTGTCAGTTCAAAGAAGGCAAAAAGAAAAAGAAAAGGATATCCTCACACCTTGAGAATATAACACTTGAAACACCAAGTGCTTCAAAAAACAACAGGAAAATAAGGTTCACATCTAGTTTTGAGGTGCCATGTCTTGTTTTAAAACCTCTTAAGGCATTACCTCTCAATAACTTCTACAGATCTGCAGCAGAAAGGTGTCCCATCAATGATGTCTCACTACCTCAAGCTACGGTAGATCGTGGCGTAGTGAGCAGGTGAGCACAACTCCTGATTTAGGCATCTCAGGGACATGCCTAAATCGTGGCAGGTTAGTCCAGATTGCCATGAACATCCCTTCCAGGTCAACTTGCTGCTGCAGTCCCTGGGCTTTTCCAGGAGAAACTACTCCTGTGTCAGTAGTCTGACATTACGCCAAACGATCCGTATTATTTTCTTCTAGTAAGAGAACTTCAACAAACCACAACTATCAGCTCGGTGTGTTTTGTAGGTAAAAACTATTAATGGCTTCAAACCACTTCCACCCACTCACAAAATGCTGCTTCACCTCATTTCCTGACAAACTCCGTTCCTCGCTCTGTTCAACACAACAAACTGCCTGGGTAGCACTATGTCTGCAAAATTTAATCTCAAAGAGACATTCTGCTCTTATTACTGAAGTTAAAAAAAAAAAAAGGCACAAAATAATATATTCTTGAAAGGCATGTGCATGTGTCTTGATCACAGATCATTATTAACAAGAACAGTGAAAACACAGATTTCATATTTGATGGCTTTGTTCTTTAATAGGCCTCTTGTTCCCACGACTACTTTAAAGAAAAAATAAAGTTTTCCAAGGAAACATAAGCTGATCTTGTCATCTTTCATGACTAACAATTTGCGAACATGAAACAAAGAGAGACTTTCAATTACTTCAAAAACAGAACTCATAGTGCAGAAGGTTTCGGAAGAGGAATGGCAATTAACCACCAAATAAGGTGACAAGAATCTTCTAGAAGCCTCATTTTTCAATGCACTTTAAGAACAAGCTCAAAGTACAGGGAGTACTGAAAGCACAGCAGCAGCAGAAAGCAGCTTTATTTAGTTCCGTGCTATGAGAGATGGGGAGGAGGACTGCAGTTCATGAAGATGTTCAGATTTCTTTAGGGTCTTGGGTAGGATCTTCACCTTTGCAACACACAGCGAATCATCCCCAAGGGATGGGGGCAAACTCTGCCACGGGAGATGGACACAGGGCATTGGCTTTTTTCCTCTCTTCAATTAGCAAAACCAATAAAAGGAGCATCAAAACCAGTTATATAGTGGTACCCGAACGGGGCTACCCATGGTATCACAACTGGCTGCCAACCACGTGGGGCAGCACCCTCCTCCTCGACACGTAAGCACATCACCTCGCTCCCACCACCCAAAGACAAGGTTTGTGGGGCAGGCTCACCACCGCAGCGCTCCGCGGTGCCTGCCGCAACGGGGACCGGCACTTCACCGACCGAACGTGCTAAACGCAGCACGACTGGGTCTTTGATCATGTTCATCTCTGTCAATTTTTTTTTTTTTTTTTTTTTTTTCCAAAATGCTCTTGGAGAGAAAAGGGAGCAGTGTGCTGATGCACGGATAAATGTAATATTATATACTTATTAGAATAACAGAATAATTCAGGTTGAAGGGAACTGCTAGAGATTTCTATTCCCACATTTCAAATATGCTTTTATATGAAGAAGAGGGAGCCAGACATTTCTTGTTTCTTTTCACAGAATTCACAAGGGGTTTTTTTGGTGGGTTTTTTGTTTGTTTGTTTTAACATCAGTATTGAGCATAATGACTTCCTGTAACAGTTCATGTAATCAAAGGGAGTTTATGCTCCAGTATCTAAAATCAGGTATCTAGCGAAAAAAAGTAAGAGTTCTCTTGCATTTTAAAGATCTTAATATGGGTTTTGAAATTAGGACTGGAATCTATAAAGAAAGAGAAGGGAGATGGACTCCAAAACTTGCTGAAACTGTATGAAACAGCGCATCTAAGCTGATCAGATTTTCCAGTCTTACCCCACAATAATAAACCTACTGAACGAGGTATCAAATTTTAAAACCAAAGAATCCTGGAATGAGATAAATAACCAAGACCCGAACACACAGACCTTGCCATAGACAGTGATTATCAGATCAACTAACACAAATGAGCTCACCTACAGACAGTATTTAAAAGGACAAAGCCACCTGAAATACCCAGCAAAGACTTATTTCTTTCAGCAGAAAATACTTCTCCTGAACAACCAGCAGTACGAGTCTAACAAGATCCATGAATCAAGGTAATTCCATCTTCCCCACTTCACTCCTGCGTGCCCAGCAGTCATACCGGAGAAGTTACTCAACGCCAAGCTTACTGTTGGTAACTACTGCCCACAAGGTTCCATTTTATTTTAATAAAAGAAACCAAAACAAACACACACGCTCCCGTTCTTGACTCTTACCTATTGCTTGGAAGGGAATCCGAGACGGCCGAACTGCTATTATTAGCAGACCCCGCTCGAGTATTTACCTGCAGGCAGGGAAAGGATCTTTATCAGTCGTTTGTGTTCAGAGGACACTATTCTAATTAACCTGTAATTTGCCATGAATTTCTCATTTCACTACGAAGGTTAATTAGCTTGTTGCTAGGCATGCCGATGGTTGAGGTCTCGCCTGTATGTAGGTTAGCAGGCTATAGGATTCATGGACTACAATGTATTATCTTTACATCGTAAATGCTTAGTTAAAGAATTCAGAAAAAGAGATATGCCCACCATTTCTTCTCATTTTTGAAACTAAACTATATCCATAGTCTTCTGTGTTTCAAACCGGGTACGATTACAGAAGCAAGGAGCGACCCTGGATGAATCAAACAGCCTCCAAGAATTTCGTTGCAGTGCCTCCCACACTTAGATAAATTACTGAAATCAAATGAATATGGCAGGGGTTTTGAAACTCTTTGAAGTAGCAGCAGACGTTAGTTGATAAATGGAATATTAAAATTTAGGAACCTTATTAACAGAGGTTAAAAATAAAAGAAAGGCAATTGCATTTTTAATAAAACTGTACATATAGATATCGCAGCCAACACCCAGCAGATGAACCCTTCTCCCACCCTCACAAAAAAATAATAATAAAAAAAAATAAAAATCTGCTTGTCAGAACTCAAGAAAGTGCAGTTTTATTTGACATTTCAATAAGTGGAACACAGCATTACAAATCCATCTAACTTTACTGAAACAATTATTGAAATTCGTACCTTCAGGCCATGTATGTTCCGTTTCCCAGGAGGTTTGCAGGCTGAAACAGTAATTGACTAAATTGTAGAACACATCAGGGCCATTTACAAATTTGCTCAAAATGAATCTTTTAAAAAGAAATGAGGGTGACACCAAAATTAGCAGAGAGAAATGATTGAAAAGTGCCTCACAAGACCCAGAGTGGGAATTACGAACCAGGATTTTTAACTTGCAGGAGTGAGCATTTATAAATGCGAAGAGCTTTCTGACACCATGTAATATAAATTCTAATTTCTGCTTAAAACACATCAAAATCGAGAGGACTGTTGGCTTAAATTATCAGATTCTTTTTGTAATTCAAATTAAAATCAATATCTTATGTCACTATATTTTCACACGCCGTCTTTTTCCTGGCATTTAACAGAAATATTTGCAAGATGTATTTTAAAGGAATCGGCTGCCACGCATCATGAATAAGTCATGTTGTCAAACCCAGACGGTTTGTTTTCACCGTGGAAAAAAACATGTCAGGGGCAAGAGCAGCCAGTCTCGAGAAACCAAAGAGGGGATAAATGAAATACAAAATGCCACGTTTCGGGCACAGATGTACCAACGTGGCATCTTATGATGATGCCTGGGTTTACAGAGGGACTTATTTTCCTGGAGTCTCTGGAACTACACGCCGCCTCGTTCTCCCACGCAGCGGATGTGCTTTTGCCAAATGTTAAAGCCACAAAGGCTTCTGGCTACATGTTACAGACAGGTCCCATTTTCCAACTACAGTGCCCTACAAATTGTATGTTAAAGGGCCTGTCACTTTTGATTGATTGTCTGAGGAGGGATGAATTTGATTTTGCTCTTTCTCTGATGCACATGCATTTCACTTCAATTTTTGACAGCAGGAAACAGAACTATTTATTAGTCAGAAGGACACAGATGATAGTTATTAAACACATCAGTTAGGGCCAGGCCATGTGCCTTTAAATGACATCAGAACATGCATCTTAAAGAAGAAAAATATTACGATACTGTGGATATTAAAAAAAAAAAAAAAATCAACCAGAAAAAATATTCTAAAATACATACAAACATATAATTATTTTTGCCAATATTTTGAACAAGATATTAAAAGAATGATAGTTTATGATACATATTTGATCAGTATATTCCCCTTGCACTCTACAGATGGGATACACACACATATATTATATGTTATATATAACACACATATATTATATGTTATATATAACACACACATATATTATATGTTATATATAACATACACATATATGTTATATATAACACACACATATATGTTATATATAACACACACATATATGTTATATATAACACACATATATTATATGTTATATATAACATAGGAGATATATATATTATATATATAGATATGTATGTGTATGCACACATTCTCTTGTTTATGTATATAATACAGAAGTTTATTTTCAGTATTAAAAAAAGAACTCTGGCTCTTACTATCTAGACAATGACAAAACAAAATAAAAATATTAAAAATGGACAAAAAACCATTTTTTTTCCTCCCTGAAGACCTTTAAATTAGCAAATGAATACAGGACAGCCAAGGTAACACACGATGGCACATGGACATTTACTACTGGCAGGCTTTATGGAAGACAAGTTTTCGGAAGCTGTCTAGAGACAGCAACTGGGAGGATTCCTCAGAAGTAAGAGGGGCAGAAAGGGAAAAGGACTCTTGGGAAGATTGAGCTTGCAAAGGAAGCTCTTAAAAAGGGAGAACCTTGAATTACAGGCAGAAAAGCTGCACGCCACTGATGGGGGTTTAAGCTGCAGTATGCAGAGAGACATGGCCAGAAGGGCGTGAAAGGAAAGCGCTTGCGCTAACGAAATTTGGGATGTTCGTTGGAGAGGCAGGTCTAGAACTTCAAATTCCAGAAGACAGAAAAAAAAATCCAGGAAAGCGCATTTTTTTTGAAAATTAGAGGCAGTCTGAGTATGGAAGGGGTGCAGGGCAGCTTTAAGGCTGTAACCTGGGAAGAACAGATGTTTTGAGACAGTGCTTTGGAAAGATGCAACAGCAGCTCAGCCCTGAAGCAACCCAGAGCACGGGTGGCAAGCTGCCCACCAGGAAACACCCAGCAGGCACAGGTGTAGTTGAGAGAAAGGTGAAAATATGAAGATAATATATGGGGATCATATCACCAGCAGCATGGAAACGAATGCTGAATCTGTACAGTCAAAGATGACTGTCCTCGGATGTAAAGGAAACAGAAAAAGGAGAAAGCAGCAGGAGCAAGAATCTACTTGGCTGGTCCTTCGGGAACGACCCAAATGGAGACTCTAAAAGGAAGTTCAGCCTGATCTCCGACCTCAGAACGTCCCTCTAAACACTCAGGCATGCCAGCTACCCAGCACCTCCAGCCACAGCTCCTTGAACTGTTTTGCTTATGGGGAAACACATCTAACTGCCTGGTATTTCCAAGAAGGGTTTCCCACCTATTAGGATCATCCACTCTATCAGTTTCTCCAAGCCACATGGAAGCCTGGCATTTTATTTCTTCCAAGTGGCAGCCAGTGTCTTTAGACCAGAGTGTTTTGGTAACCAAATGGCCTTCTGCAGACAGGGGCTCAGGAGAAGGGCTGAGACCCCCACATCTCAGCCAGGGCACAGGCGAAGGGGGCAGGACGCAGCTTCCCCCTCCGCAGCCGTCCTTGCACCCATCTCAGGAGAACACGTCCTGCAGCTCCAATATCTGGGAGACCCTCCTCTCAACCAGATCCTCCTAGCCTGAGCCATCAAAAAACCAAAAAAAAATTTAAAAAAATTTCCATATTCCCCTTGAATTCAAGGCTCTTTTCCATAGGAGCCACTAAACTACCAGGAAGCCCAGCCTCCTTTTGAGACCTCATTAGCACGTGTTTGAGAAGACTGTTGGTTAATTGCCCAATTCAAACTTCAGAGAGTTGTAAGTAATGGAAGTCTGGAATGTTTAATTGGGAAACTCATAGTATGATTATTTGTATAATATCAGTTAAGTGAGAAGAGTCTAATTTTTAATTATTTCAATTAATTTATTGCTGGGAGATTTACTTGGAGAATTTAAACCTTATCTGTTTCATCAATTAAGAATCAGAGATTCAAAGACTGGATACCTGAATGAATCAGTGGAATTATATAATGTATTAAATCTTTTTTTAACCACTATTTGAGTTCGGAGAGAGCGGTGCATTCCCAAAAACCTAACTAGCTGCCTACGGATTTTTGTTCAGGATGTAGATGACCTATTTTTTAATTGCCTCAGCCCCCATAATTGATTACACCTTTCCCTGTTTAGGAGAACTATTAAAGTACTTGTGATCATTTTGATACCGCTGCTAAGTGCCCAAATCTCAAATAAAATATGTCACGGATAGAGCTTTTGTGACAGACACGTTCCCATTTTCAAAATGAACGATGACAGTCACATTCCCCAAGTCTGTTAGACTGATTAATGACATTACAAGATCTTAACAAAGCCCAATTTTCTTAAGTATCCAAAACTTAAGTTATTCATCTGCTTTGGTTGCAATACATACAGAACCATCACCAATGAGTTTTTTAAATGTACATAAATATGTACTGTGCAAACTGAATCTTGTTAGTCTAATTTACTCCAGTAAATTAGCTATTTTACATGCAATAAATGTAGTTTTCTCTACGCTCCTCACAATAATGAACTCTTCTTTTCAAATTAAGAGGTAAACATCATGTTATGCACATTTAAACCTCCCGAAAACATAACTGTTGATGAACCAGTTTACTGATATCATCATTGTTGATTAGAATTTGTTAAGCATTACCTCTTGGATATATCTGTAGAGGCTCTATTAACTGTCCATTTACTTGCTGTTCCATTACAGTGGAGTAATACTGCAAAGAGATTAAAGAAAGAGATTACTCAGTAACGTATGAATAGTAGTAAGAGCACTTATGGATTGTTTAATTCAATGTTCGGGGTTTTTTTTTTTTTTTCATTTTATTTTTTAAATTGCCACAATACATATCAGCCTTTTGAACACTTTCTTACCATTTGCAATGTTCATGCAATAAAACGGCACAGAGGAACGTAACCGAGAGGCTGTGATGCTCAGCCCAGTACTGACTCCAGCACAGGGATCTGTTATGGGCTCAGCTAAGCAAGTTTCAGGCTCACCTGAAACCTGGGAATGCTCCAGAAGATTGAGCAAATGAAACATTTACAGCAAACACAGCAGTTGCCACACCTGGAGAAGCCAGGAAAAACCAGTCAAACGTGGAAATAAAGAAACGCTGTAAATACAGTCAAAAACTGTGCAATTAGGAAAACTCCAAGGGAGGAAAGAACCTGGAAACTGTCCAAGAATTTGCAGTGATGAAGCACAGTCAGGGCAGTTGGGGCCACATCCCACATAAGCAGGGACGTCGTGCGTTCCCTTAGCGTAGAAATTTAATGCATGGTAGGGTATGGAAAACAGAAAGCCAATACCGAGGGCCTGTTGTGATAGGACAAGGGGTAATGGTTTTAAAATAGAGGGAGGTAGATTCAGGTTGGATATTAGGAAAAAATTTTTTACCATGGGAGTTGTAGAACACTGGAACAGGTTGCCCAGAGAGGTGGTGGATGCTCCATCCCTGGAGACGTTCAAGGCCCGGTTGGATGAGGCCCTGAGCAACCTGATCTAGTTGGAGATATCCCTGTTCCTTGCAGGGGGGTTGGACTAGATGACCTTTGAAGGTCCCTTCCAGCCCTAATCATTCTATGATTCTATACTGAGACCTTGGACCACAGCACTTGGACTCTACAGGAACTGCTGGGAGTGATCAGGGGGGAAGTTTATCACTAAAGAAAGGCTAAGAACGGGCCAAAAAGGGATGCAAAAGTATCTGAGAACATCAGGACTCAAGAAGACAGAAAATACGTAATGTGGTATGAGGAAGCCTGAGAAGCGGCACGAGGATGAGGAGCAGCATTAAGCGAAGAAATAAACATTTGGATCAAATAAATCCAAATCCTTACTGGCCTTTTTTAATGAACCCCCACTCCTGAGGGGCCATGAACATTCACCAGACAGGACATTTCCCATTAAGACCAGACAATCCTGGGGCAGCAGAGGGACCCTGCTGCGAGTTTTCTCCCACGATGCGTTAAATACTGAAAGCACATCACAAAGCACGGTTCTTTTGCAAATCGCCCAACACCTTTGAAGCAAAGATGCTGGCTGTTGGCCAGCTCTTCACGGCGTAAATCAGTGTGGCTCCACTGACTTTCATGCTAATTCTCACCAGCCGAGTGTGGTCTAAGACTTCAGCGTGTCACTGTTACCGGCGTTCTGTGATACTATTACTCAAACTGGTAAGAATGGATGTTGACAAGAAAAAAAAAAAAAAGAAATTCTGAGCCTCTATGGAATCAACCACATGTATTTCACTCACACCGACGGCTTCCCGTAACGCGAGGGGTTTTTACTTATGTGACTTGAAAAAGAGAAAAGTTTGTTCATTAGCTAATGTTACAAAATGTTCTTCTTTCCTCTTAGGACGGGATTAAATATGTGAGCTATAGTCAGCACACGTTAGATGGACATCAAGGTCAATTTACGTGCCAAAGTTTTTCTGAGCTTTTGTTTTCACATTCATGTCAAAAAACCAGAAAGAAATTTCCTTTTTTTTTTTTTTTGAAAAAACTGTTATGAAAAAATTGCTGAGGGTTTGAGGATCCATCCAGCCTCACCTCCCATGTGTACACCCAGTACCACGCCTGCTGCTCAAGGCATTTCCCTCATTAAAGTATCGCCCTCACTGAAGTATTGAGGGGGGCATCTCATTCATAGTAGTGTAGAAACAAATAAATCCACATCTTAAATAACCACCTGACACATGCTTTCGTTGTGCTCACACAGAGCAAAGCTATTCCTTACAAAATCCCACTCTTTTGAAATGATCAGGAGGTTTTTCAGGAGTCAGGACTACCCCATAGACTTACTTTGTATTGGGGGGTCATGAATAACATGCCAAATCCTCCCCCATGTCCCCATCCCCCTTCATAAAAACGTGTCACCAGTACCTAATAGTTACAGAGCTGTAAAGGAACCTCCTGTTCCCAAAATTGCTTAAGAACAACAAACTTTTTAAATTACCATTTTACTAGTGGCATTCCATGACCTGAAGACATATATACACAGTATAAACATATATTACACACTCTCTAGAATAATAAACTAAAATAAACATACATGAGACTGTTTCCTACCAAAAAAAAAAAAAAATATGGAGGGAGAGAGAAGCAAACATGGCCCTCTCCATTACTCAAACAGTGATGACAAGTAAATGAAATATCAATCATGTAAGCTGTCAACCTTTTGGGACAGCAATAACTGTTAACAAGTAGTCTGGAAAAATTGTCTGAAAATGACTTGTCCTCCACACATGAGCATTTGAGGTTTCCATGGAAAATTAAGATGCCAGTGGCTATTTGGAACATTGTTCAGGTATTCTTTTTAATGGAAAATTTGCCAGTTATTGATCCAGAGCATGTACCCCTTGCTTTCAGAAAGCTGCAAGCAACTTTCCAATCAGTGGCTGTCAAAAAAATTACTGCCTTTTTATACTGATACAAGACAACAGCTAAAGTGCAACTCCACTGCTACTCGATGGCTGTCTTTAATTAACTGCAATACACAGCAGAAAAATAATTTTATTTACCACTCCACAATATTTGCATAGGCATAACACAAAGTGTTTCTGCATACTCTAAAATAATACCAGAACTGCCTGAAATAACTTACTGCCAAGTTCGGAAACCAAAGAACCTGAAGATAAGAGGTTGTGCATAATTCAAAACATCTTCCCCAATTATAGGGTCATACCTGGACAGAGGAGATGGGTTTTCTCAGGGAATTATTTTTTTTGTTCTTAAACTGAAGGAAAATTCTTCACTTTGGTTTTGGAGAACACTAGCAGAACTAGAGGCAAACTGCATCATGTCAAAATTCCTAGAAATTTTTTAGCAGCTGTTTAATCCTCCAGATATTTCTTGCAGCCCTCAAAATACTCAAAAATGAGTATTTTTCTTCCCCAGTATATTCCTCAAGATTACAGTAGGTTCATTCCTCTTCTTGTAGGATAAGAACATTTGTTTTCTTATAAACATATCCCAAAGTGACATCTATAGGATATTAGAAAGTTAAATCATCAGTGCAACACAAGTAGAAAACTAGATTAAAACTGAAAGTGAAATTTTCAGAGAAGAAAAGCTGCTGAAGCAGAAAGAGACCATTTACAGACATCTCGTAATTTTTAGGGGAAAGCAGACAGCTGAGCAATCACAACTCTAACGTACTGAAACTTGAACAGTAAGCGTGGAAGCAGAGCAAAAAGATGACCTTGCAAAGGCATGGTTAATCTCAAAGACTGCGCCGGGAAAATTCAAGTTTTCCAGTTAACAGCAAAAATTGCAGACATTTTATAAGGGGGGGGGAAAAAAAAATAATAGAGAAACACAAGGAATTCCAGTGGGGAAGCATCACCAGTGATCGAGGCGTATGAAACAAAACAAATCAAAACAAACCAACCCCAAACAAGCACGGAACCCCCTTGACTGCAGCAAGATTCTTCTTCCTTCCTTTCATGCAACTGTCTTACGCTCTTTAATATCAAACTTGTTTCACCTTCTCTGTAACAAAAACTGCACATGAGAGGGGCTTATTTAATAAATCTCTTGAGTTTCTCAGAGATCAACTACTATCATCTGGAACCTGCACTTCTTTCATCCCAGGATTACGCCATAGGCAATGACTAAAGTCTCTTTGAACCAAGGTCTACTAAGAGATCTCCAGTTGGCCAACGTTCACCCCAGCCTTCGCAAGGCACGAAATACCACAATCTCTGCAGATACCAAAAGGATCAGAATTTCACTACAGAAGGCTTTGTGGAGCCTAAAAAACGTGAGCCCCCTTCATAGGGAACGTCCACCGTTTGACGTGCTAAGCACACAATAATGACACCACTTTTTTTGCCAAATGCTACAGAATACGTGCAAAGAGCGATCCATTAAGCAGAGACTCTGGCAAGATGTAGGTGATCCAAGCCTGTCCCTGCTCTGCTTCCCCTGCAACAGGCAACTGATGAGGAGGACTAAACTGCACCAAAGTCATTAAGTCCCACCAAAGCCACCCATGAACAGGGCTTGTTTCTGATATGTTCCAAGTCAAGGCCTTGAACATAAAGAAAAGTGCACTTGATAAGGAACTAGCATTCCATCAGGCTTAGAGAGAAAAATACCCATTTGTTATTTTCTTGCTTATCAATTGCATTTGAAAGGAAACGTTAAATTATTTTTTTCTCTTACATCTGCAACATGAAAGATATGCTGAAGCGACACTCAAATTATTTTGTTTCAATAAGTAACTGTGTACTTTATTTCTGTAGACAGATTTTAAATTTATAGGCACCTAGACAGAGATTTTACACACATCTCTGTATAAAGGCACACACTGACACATATATCTCACATTAAAAAACAGAAAATACATCTTTAAATCCTCTATGAATACTGCGCCTGCAGCTACAATGAAACTCTTCTGTTAGGAGGGGTGAAACAGTCTCCAGATGAAAGTAGATTTTGAAAAATTTTTAGAGCCCAGGGGTTCATTTTTAATGAGCCGTTACTTTAAGTACTGCATAAAAAATACAAGAAATTGATAGTCCATTTAGCCTGCACTATACCTAATGCAAAAGTCATTAAGATGCATTATTCTTAATGTTTATGATATGATCAGTAAGTGTACAAGTTGTTTTTTTTTTTTTAAAAAAAGTCAAGCATGCCCATGAATCTCTTGTGACACAGTTTTTAAACACCTTAATACATGAATATTATACTGTCAGCTCCATACAGGAATATCGTACTGCAAACAGGGCAGCTCACCTTAACACTTTGATACCAGCAAAAATACACAACACAGAAACTGATAAACATGGAAAATCCCAGCATTTGTTTTACTGTACCTACATAGGACAGCATGGCTTTCATTTCTTCGTCGCTTCTAACGGTAATCCGATCGCCATCCTCATCTTCATCTAACAAAGAAATGCATTACATTCGTGAACAACGAAGAAGGATCCGTACAATTTCATAGAATCAGAGAATGGTGAGGGCTGGAAGGGACCTTCAAAGGTCATCTAGTCCAACCCCCCTGCAAGGAACAGGGATAGATACATTTCCATATGAAAGGTTTTCACCTGGACTTTTAGAAGCAAACGAAAACTGGAAGAACATATAAACCAACTACACAGGTAACCAGGTACCCCGAAATAATAATGTATAATGACTCCAAACATTAATTAATGCAGATTGCAATTACATCTAAAAAGGGGGCATGAACAAAGCGCTCAAAACTTTGCTCTCAAAAGTTCTGTCACTGCCAGAACCTCTCCAGAAGCCAAGCACCTTACACATGCTCCAAAACCCCTCACTGAAACCCATCAAAGTTTCTGACTGTGCTTCAGTCCTCCCAGATGGAGTTAAGTTTTGGCAGTTTCCTTCATCAGAAGTTAATTCCTACGCATAAAAAAAAATAAATAAATAATTTGTCTTCCTTCCACTGAAACCTTCTGGTGTTACTATGAGCCCTACCTCAACTCAGCCACTCTACGACCACCCCTCTGCCCCCATCCCCGTTACAAACACGTGGGCATCTCTGCTTCTTCGTGACGCAGCAGCGCTGACTTACGAGCGGACACAAATCTGCAAGGTTTACACAGAAAAATGTAGATGAAGTTTGTGAACAAGCAAAAGCAGCGTGTGTCTCTGTTCCAAGTGCAGCTCTGGGTGAAGAGGAGGTGATCATGGTTTCATGATGATGGCTCAGGTACAGCCACAGACACAGAGAAAAGGCACTTCTGGTGTAAAGAAGCTGCTGTAGAAACAACCAGAAGAAATGGAGAAAGATTCGGAAAGGCTCCAGCAGAGCAAGGCGTTCAGAAAGAATTACTAATATGAAGATCTGAAGGAGGAATGGACTTTCCAAAGACATATGGTGGGATTCAGCAGGTGCAGATCTACCAGGGGGCTCAATCCCCCTCCATTAGCACCAGCTGGTGCAACGACACGCTCCAGCATCCCGAGACACAGTCGCTGAGTCACCCCGTGCGGTTCCTTCTCTCCGACGGGAGCAGCCTCCACCCCGGCCCTCGTGGAAAGCTCGTGCGCTCGCACCGATGGGAGAGCTGCACCAGTCACCAGACCCCTCCTCTTCAAATCAGCTACAAAATGTTAATTTCTTTTTATTGCTCCAGCTTTGGAGGAGAAGGGAGGGGTTAATGATCTGTCTCCAAATTTTTGCCTGCTGCAAGTTAAGTATCTTCCTTAGATACTTATGAATAAAAAAATAAACAAAAACCAAAGCACATTGATGTATAGTCCAGTCTTACATTTGCTTTTTCCCTTTGGACAGGGAGCTCTTCGAAATTAAAACAACCACAAAACATCCAGCTGACACCAAAGAATGGCTGTGACATCCCTCCAGACGTGGTCTAACTGATCAATGTGCTCTCTGCAACCACAGCCTCCGCGGATTGCGTCAGCATGAAAAAGTGCCCTTATGTCCCTGGATGAAAACTCACTTCTGCTCCTAGTAATGAACACCAATCTAGGAAGAGATATGAGTCAACAAATTAAAATTACCCAAGAAAAGGAGTTTGCTCATTTTGCCTCTGAAAATCTTGCAGGTAATGCTGAGGCTATAACAAAAAAAACAATGCAGAACAGACAGCAAAACAACAAGAGAGAAATAATGAGGGAAAAAAACTAACAAAAAAACCTTGGAATTACACTTTAAAAACGTACTGGAAGAGAGCTATGGGACACTGGAAACGTGGAAGCTGGAAGAGGAACCAGAAAGCACAGCGATGTCCTCCAAGAGCCCTGTCTCACGGAAATTTAACTGGTGAACTGCCAGCTTGCTACAACTGCTTGCTAGGGTTACCAGCCTGCGGCGAGTCATGAATGATGAAAAGATTAAGAAGAGTTAGTGAGTTGAAACGGAATGCTTCCTGCCTGGAAACATTTTAGGCAGAAAGGAGGAGGAGTTGTAAAACTGCTACCTGGCCAAAACCCAAGTCCCAGTCGCGGCGTGTAACGGAGTACGAAAGGCTGAAGAAGCGCACACGATGAAAGCCATGCATCTACAAGAAGGGATGAGAGTAAAATGCAGAAGAGGGGAAACACACAACAGAGAGAACACAAGGTCTGGCTTGAGGGAAAAAATTGAGCTGGGACCACCAGAAAAAAAAAAAAAAAAAACAAAACCAACCCAACTGGAAAACTCTTAGAGCCCACTTGCAAAACGTTCATAAAAAAAAAATTAAATCACACATTATTATTTTCAAATGATTAAGAAGTTAACTCTGAAGTTTTCAGAACTGCAAGATTGCTGGTGGTGGTGCAAAGATGATAAATTAAAAACACGTTGATGAAAAGGCAGAAAACGTCACCTGGCATTAAAAAAAGCCAAATCTAAAATAGCGGGGCAATGCTCGTAACGAGTGAAATCAGGAAAAATAACCCAAAACTATTTCTCTTATCTGTGCAGTTCCTTTGCCATCCTACCATGACATTTAAGTGGGCACAGCCCAAAAACTAGCTAGATATGACACATGGGTTCAGAAAGCTTTCCAGGCTCCCCTGCTTGCCTAGAGCACAGCAATACGATTTTCCAGCACATTAGCGAAGCAAAAGTAGAACCAAAAAAATCCCACGTACTGGCTGGATTTTGCTAATATCACTTAAAATGGAGGAAGAAATCCTCGCAAGACACCGAAGAGAGCGCAGCAGATGGCAAACAAATATCACGAAGCAATCTTCCCAAAATCTGCAGCGTGTCGCAAACGCACAAAATGGCAGGGTTTGGATGGAAGGATCATAACAGGCCATATGTTGTCGGTGATTTCACCCGTAGTGATGTGTAACACAACGGTGAAATCCACATAAAGGTCCACCAGGAGGAGAAGTGCAGCCCCAGGTAGGAGCTGCAATGGATGGTACGCTGTGGATAACAATAACTAAGCAAACAGTAGAGGAGCCTGCACTGATGTGGCAATTATCCCCATCTGAAGAAGCAATGAAGCAGGTGAGAACGAAGCTCAAGCCAGTAAAATCGAGGCATTTGCTATGGAAAAAGTAACCAGAAAAATCAAGCATCAATATACATAACATATTTTAGATGCCAGTTAAATGGCAGGGGAAATGGTTTTGTGCAGATGTAAATGACAGACTAGAGACATGAACTGAAAGCACAGAAGCAGATGTTAGAAGACACAATGAAATAAGTATTTCCAGGAAAGTTCTACACATGGTACCATTAATATGGGCTACTGCCCTGATTGCAGCGACTGCTACTGGTGCATGAAGTTCAAACAAAGCTAATGTGTGATGTGGGAGGTACGTAAAAAAAAAAATATTAACAAATCATTAAAAAAAATGGCAAGGTCTGGAGCCTGGTTTTGCTCAGGTTTCTTTAGAAAGTCTTGGTTTAGAAAGCAGGGCAGGAGAAACGTCGAGGCTACCAAAAAATAACACAATCTCTGCTGTTTTAGGAGAAGAAAACACAAACATATGAAAAGAAAAATAAAAAGCACTAAATAGTAATTGAAAGACCATAAAATGATATTTCCTTTCATTATCTACACACAGAATTATCCATAAAGCTCCAAGAAGGGGAGAAATGCTAATAAGAATGCAAAGTCCTATCTTGGCGTATCTGCTTGCTCACCTTCAGCATGACTACCTTACTCATAAAACACTTCTAATCCCCTCCAGCTCCTTCTTGCTAATTCATGTCTACCAAAGGAAAAAACAGAAAAAAACATAGTCAGCATGAAAAGGGAATAGCAGGAGCCCTCTCCACTTGGAAGAAAACTCTAGCTCAGTATCTTATTCCCTAGGACACAGATGTTTTGCTCCCCTTTGCAGCTTATTGCTCTCCAAACGGGACAATCTCCCAAGAATCCCTCCAAAAATAAAAATAAATAGGGTTCAGAGAATAGAGCTGAAATAGATATTAGCAGATATAGGTCTAAATCTGCACTAACCTACTCACTGTTTCAGAGAAAGGAAATGTTAAAGGCTGCTGTATTTGGTACAAAATCCATACATTGTACCGTATTTCCGTAAAAGCTGCTGCTCTTTTGGTTTCTTCCGATGGAGGATTAAAATTTTAAACTTAGAACCTACAGGTACTTTATACTTTTCATTTAATTCGAGTAATATAACTGCAGTGAGGAGTAAGAGCATGGTAAGGTCACGCTGGTAATTAAAGCTATATTGTAGAAATATGCTCGTTCAAGATGTGATTAAATAATAAAATATTGCTTCGTTCAGTGTCGTCATTAAACTTGCATTAACGCATAAATATTTAACTGTAATGTATAATGAACGTAAACATTATTTATTTAAAAAATGACAACCCCGTAACGTGACAAAGGAGACAGTTTACACGAGTCATACTTACACTCAAACGCTGTTGTCGTTGCATCCGGCAGAACTTGACCGATGACATCCTAGAAGGTGAAGAAGAATTAGCTCTATATCAAACGGGAAAGGGCTGAGATGATTTAGAGTAAATCACCTTAATTGGTCCCCAGCTGCAGGCAAAAGACTTAAAGTCAGGCTACTCACCACTGCCCCAAAATTATAAAGTTTTTAGGGCACAACACAAATCAGTACAAATCGCGGTGCTCTTCTTCCTCCCCACATCACCTTAAGGAAAACTGTTTTCTTTTAAAATAATCATAATTGCAAACAAGTCAGTGTTGCCTGTTCTGGCAGTTTGAAGAACTGATTTTGTCTGTAGGTTATAGAAAAGCGTACATCTCACTCATAAGCCATAAAAACAGAGGGTTATGAATGACTTTTTACTGAAAAAAGCACATTTTCTCCCTCTGTCCTTCAGCTTACATCACTCTGATTCCTCCTCACCACCTCCAAACAACTGCCCTGCTCCTTCCTCCCACCGCAGGGCACCCTCATCACACAGCTCCATCTCCTGCCCTGCCTGCAGCTCAGGAACACCGGCGTAACAAACGGCTCGGGATGGGTTTGGGGCTGTCACTGGGAATTAAACCAGTAGCTGTGAGACTGAACAGGTTTGTCTTGCTTTTCCTCCACAACTGCCCGGGAAAGCGGCAGGCCCCGGCGGCTGCATCGAGCCGCCTGCTGCTGCATCTCACGATGCTCTCCGTGGGCAAGCCAGAAACTTTGGAAGGCTCTTTGGCATTCTTAATTGGAATTTAAAACTTCTTCAAAACTTGGTTGAGAGACTCAAATACATTGGCTGCCCTGGAGGTTAAAAAACCCAAAGTGGTTAAAATACCCAAAGAAGGGAACGTGCAGAACTATAGAAGGCAACCTCCAGCCTCCGCGTTCCAACAACGCCACGCAATCCCTTTCTAAGGGGATGTGCAACTGGCATACACAAGCCCAGCACAAAATCCAGCAAACATCTCCAGGTGTTACACATCTCCGATCCAAACCAGCATTTTATTTTTTTTTTTTGCTAACACAAACCTTTCCTGTACAAGTAAGCCAAGGGGAGAGCTTCTTGTTTTCATCCCCCAACCTTTATGTACAGCATTTACTCAAAATTCAGCGAAAAATATCTGCTCAGCCTCAAGTCATGGTGCCCTCCCAGTGTAAGTGGTGGTGTCAGCTCTGCGAGGCTGCAATATGTCATGTCAGGGCATGGCATAAATGCACAGCATGGTTTTTTTTTCCTTCCTGCTGCCTGATTTCTCATGTCAGGCAATCTCTCCAGTGACAGCGTCACAAAGTGATTAGAAATTAATGAACAACAATATTTATCGCAGTACGTACACTGTGAGCATCTTGGGGCGCTAAGCACACCCCCCCCTTATCAAAGCTTTAGTGATCACTGTCCTGTCACTTTTGTTTTCTCTATTTTTTTTTTGTTTAGCCTAAAACCAGGAAATTAAACATTCTGTGCAATGTCAAAACGACACAGTTAATACAATGAGAAAGCAGCAAAAGCAACCTAAAGATTTCCACAGAGCTAACTGAAGCACCTAATATTCCTAAAACTTTATGTTGTCTTTTCCTTTTAAATGCTAAAGTAACTCAACAGTATGTAATTTAAACTATTAATTGTACACAGAAAGACAAAAGATGTGCAACACAGTTTAACGAATTATGCAGACTGTAAATTTGTGGTGCCAAAAAAGGAAAAAAAACACCTTTAAACATTGCCATGTTAACAAAAATTCTTCCATTTTAATACTTCTACAGGGTTTGACAGTTCTATCCATCCTCTGTCAAACGCCAGCCAAGCTGTACCCTCTGTTCCTAACCAGAAATTAAGGTCTTGCCTAAACTGAAGACTGGGCTGTTAACTAATTATTTCCAAATCCATTTAGCTAAACACGGAAAATTCCCCAGCAAACACACTTTAACTGTGTTAGATTTAAGCCACTTGTAAAACGTTCTTATGTGGGCACACAGATGCTTCCACTAAATGGATTTAAAAACTGTTATTCGAAAAGGACCCCAGTTCTGGGGTATTCAAAAGTGCATTTAAGAGATGCTTGAGCATGGCAGGGAGACAGAGAGCTCTGATGGCCCCAAATACCTGCAACAAAAGCTCTAAGACCCCCAAAGCTGTGGTTAACACTGAAAAAAGTGATGGTAAATTCTTTTATATTTTTTTTCCAGTTCAGAATAACTTTTTCTATATAACGGGATTCTTTAAAATGAGTAATAACCAAGTCCATGAATTTAAGAACTATATTTAGTGTAAGACAGAATTATGGTGTAAACAGTTAGAAAGAAAACCCTACCAACAGCCACAAAAAAAACCTTTGCTCTAGTCAACTTTCAGTGTTTCTATTTAATAGATGCACCTGAGAAAAATTAGCCTTGCAGGAGGTGGGAGGGAGAGAAATCACACCATCCTCTGTTGCTACCACAGTATTTTCATCAGCTGCATAAGACTTCCATGCTCAAACATCCAGCAGACCTCTCAGTGACCCAAGCTTAAAGGATTACTCTAAATTTCAACAGATTATGCATGATGATGTTCTACTATCACAACAGAGATCATGAGCAACAAAATACTACGATGTGTAGACATTGTTCAATGTCTTGCATACATGATAGCTTCTATTTTATCTTACAAAACTTAAAAGCCTCTAAGAACGAAGAGGAAAAATCAGAGAATGGGAGCTGCAACAAGAAGTCCATCAAATCTGCTCTCTAGAAGAGCTGTGAGGCACTTATCTCCGGGGTGAGAAAGCAGAAAACGCGAGAGCACTGCTTTGAAAAACAGTGCAAATACTGAAACCACCGCCCGCGCTCCCGTTTCACTCAAAACTTGTTTCATCCCAGTATGACATCATGAAGTTATCCTGAATTAACACCAAGTGCTTAAATACCCCAGTGACAGCTAGGGCAAACGAATCTAGACAGCCTGATGAAAGAAAAAAAAAATTAGCTTACTGTAATTCATTTAGTGGTGCCTTTAAAATAAATCTTTTTACCGGTAACGTACAGGTCTGCAAAGCTGATACACACAGAGTGTATTTGAAGTGACGTTATGCAGAACAGGCCTTAGCACCCAGTTCAGGAAAGCAATCCAGAACCACCAGCACCAACCTGCAAGTATCAGGGTTTGAGTTTGAAGACATAGTTCGGAGTGTATTTGAAGTGACGTTATGCAGAACAGCCCTTAGCACCCAGTTCAGGAAAGCAATCTAGAACCACCAGCATCAACCTGCAAGTATCAGGTTTTGAGTTTGAAGACATAGTTTAGCACCTGCAGAAGCTCCTCCAAGAGACAGAATTAGAGCAGTTGATAATTAAGAAATTTATCATTTAATGAGTAAGGTATGGCACTGAGGATGAGACTTTTGGACTCCAACAGGTTATTCTATGGACAGGGTGTTTGGTGACTTTATACTGTAGCTTCTTCTTGGAAAAACAAAGATATATGCCAGCCTGAAATCCTGCAAGGCTATGCTCATTTGTATTCACAACGTTGTTCACACTTCCAGGATGCTGTATTAATAACAATAATAATGTCTAAAGAAATCTTGCTGTTCTCAAAGATAATTTTACAGTGCTTTCTTAGCATGGCCAGCAGGTCGAGGGAGGGGATTCTCCCCCTCTACTCTGCCCTCGTGAGACCTCACTTGGAGTATTGCGTCCAGTTCTGGAGCCCCCAACATAAGAAGGACATGGACCAGTTGGAGAGGGTCCAGAGGAGGGCCACGAAGATGATAAGAGGAGTGGAGCACCTTTCCTACGAGGACAGGCTGAAAGAGTTGGGGCTGTTCAGCCTGGAGAAGAGAAGGCTCCGGGGTGACCTTATAGCGGTCTTCCAGTACCTCAAGGGGGCCTACAGGAAAGATGGGGAGAGGCTGTTCAGGAGGGCCAGTTGTGATAGGACAAGGGGTAATGGTTTTAAAATAGAGGGAGGTAGATTCAGGTTGGATATTAGGAAAAAATTTTTTACCATGAGAGTTGTAGAACACTGGAACAGGTTGCCCAGAGAGGTGGTGGATGCTCCATCCCTGGAGACGTTCAAGGCCAGGTTGGACAAGGCCCTGAGCAACCTGATCTAGTTGGAGATATCCCTGTTCCTTGCAGGGGGGTTGGACTAGATGACCTTTGAAGGTCCCTTCCAGCCCTAACCATTCTATGATTCTTAATACAAAGCAGAACAGGAGAGATACCTTAGAAGGAAGACCAGTCTTACTACACAGCTAATTCCAGGCTCACCTGAGCTCCCAGTTCCCACTGGTGCTAGGGATGTGGTTTTTCAGAACTGGCTAACAAACGTGCTTCTGCAGTCCAAGGTGAGATGGTCCTTTCCATCAAACCACTTGGACTGCAGGTACAGGGAGCAGGCTCAAGCCTGCTGTGCTCCAGACAACATCACATGGAGAGCTGCATCAGCCCTAAACAGGGCAAACTACAGGGATTATTCAGAGCTTGATTGTGCCCCAAACAGCAGGAGCTGAGAAAAAAAAAAAGGGGTACCTTGCATTCCTGTGTCTTTAATTTAGAGAGATGTGGACAATAAGGGAAACAGCAGGATCTGACTGGATTATTACTCTGCAGTAATTTACCTTCGTAGGGAACACCTCAATTCTCCACGCTGTCTTTAATTGATACTCTAACACATAAACCCTCTGTAATTGCCTACCAGGTGAGTGGAAATTACAGTGATGGCAGAAGGACAAGAGAAGACTGGCTCAGCCCCACTCCTGCCCTCCCCACCACGCTCGGGGCACCCCCCGGGCACAGGCAGTGCCCGATCTACCACGCTTTGGTGTACAGAGCCTTACTTCATTTAATTTCTGTAGTTACCAGATAAATGAAGTGCATGTGCATCCTGTGATGGCACCTCCTGAAACACAATCAGTTAGCTAAACGAGGGCTTTGAGACAGTTCAGACCTTATTAAACTTCTTCCTTCTTCTCTTAGCGTTTCACAGTCCACAAGAGAGGGGTTTTTGACACGAAAACGACAGTCGTCGACCGGT